TTCTGGGAGCTGAAGTCCACAAGTCTTCAAGTTGCCAAGTTTGAAGACCCCTGTGGTAGACCAAGGGATGGGCATCTTCGACAGCTGTTGTTTTGTCTTTTTTCATTATTTGCCCCCCCTCCCGAGAGCTTCTGTGAAGGTTCCTGGTGCCATCACAACATTACAAGTAGTCCTCAACGTACAACAATTGAGCCCAAAATTTATGTTGCCAAGTGAGACATTTGTTTTAAGTGAGTTTTGCCCCATTTTACGATTTTTCTTGCCACGTTTGTTAAGTGAGTCCCTGCAGTTGTTAGTCACATGGCTGTTAAGTCAATCTGGCTTCCCCCACTGACTTTGCTTGTCAAAAAGACACAAAAGGGGATCATGTGACACACAGACACACACCAGGACGCTGCAACCATCATAAGTATGAGCCAGCTGCCGAGCATCCAAACGTAAATTACGTCACCCCGGGGATGCTGCAACAGTTGTAAGTGTGAAAAATGGTTGTGAGTCCCTTTTTTCAGCAGCGTTGTAACTTTGAAGTGTCACTAAGCAAACTGTAAGTCGAGGAGTATCTATACTAGACTGAGCACAGCCAAAAATTGTAGGTAATTGGAAAGGGAAGATATTTAAGGTGATTTTATAAATTTCTGTGTTTCCCCCCCCTCCCTTTAACATTGCAAATAGGGACTACGTTTGGTTAATAGGGGAAGTTGGGGTTAAAAACAGCAATGCTTTCCTTTTAGTAGCAGGTGGGTACAGCAGTCCAACAGCAATTAGTTAAGACCAATAGTTTGTTTATTTTGAGCATTCTTGTCCCCCGTCTTTGAAGGAAGCTGAATAATTCTGCCAAGGCAGCTTAAAGGCATGACAAAAAAAAGCTGAACTAAAACATCTTGTTCCAGTAAAACTGGAACACTAAAACAGCAGTCTAAAAAAACCATCACACAGCTCAACACATTCATACAAAAAACAATTTAAATGATTAGAAAGGCGGGGTCAGGGGGGGAAGAACAATGTAAATCTCGCTGCCATATAAACTACTAAAATAATCAAAAGCTCCCTGAGAATCTCAACCACAAGTGGCACGAGAAAAATGGATTTTCAACTCCGGTTTTAAAAGTAATGCAAAGGGGAAGAATTCCTTGCAAAAGGAGCAGGAGATGAGAAGGCTCTCTTTTTTTAAAAAAAATCTTCCCCAATATAACGGATTTTGAAATCAAGTCTATAAAGATCATTTCGGAGGCTAAGACCTCGATAAGGTGATATAGGTGCTGCTTCAAATAATTCAGATTTTTTTTTCTAGATATCTAAGTGCCAAATTTAGTCATAACATAATAACCTATTAGAGTCCACCTGTATTTAAAAAGGGCTAAGATCAAAGCAGAGAGCAGGTGTTGTGTTGTCGTTAAGTGTTGTGGGAGACTGTGGGAGTTCTTGTCCTGCCTTAGGCACAAAATCAGCTGGGTGACATTGAACCGCTCACTTTTTCTCAGCCCTAGGAAGGAGAAAAATAGCAAACCACTTCTGGAAAAACCTTGCCAAGAAAACCATAGGGTCTTCGTCCAGTCTGAGAATTGGACACGGTTGAAAAGAAGAAGAAAGATCACATTAAAAGTCTTTGCCCCAAAGTAGGGATAAGCAGAGAACAATTAAAAAACAGACTGGAAGACAGCCTCCAGATGGTGTCCACAGGCTGCTCATCTCATTTGCACAAGGGGAAAAGGGAGACATCAGCCATCGTGCTGCAAAACATAAAATACTTGTTTGCTTTGTCCAAACAGGCAGATTCAGGTGGTTGTGTCTAGACTACAGCATAAGTACTCCAAGGTGGAAGAGCGCAAATAGAAATGCCAGCAAGGACAGCAGCAGAGAGAAAATAAGTGGAAAGAAGAAATAGGATGATCAGAGACATTAAATAAGAAGGTGGCTGGGATACGCCTTGCTTGAATTCAGCCAGCATCACCAGTAGCAAAGTTTAAAGTAGGGGTCCCCAACCCCCGGTCTGTGGATCAATAGCGGGCCGCGGCATGCCAGCAACTGGTCCCCACAAACAAGCAAAGCCCCATCCGCGAGATGCAGGCAGCACACAAAACTACACACCCTCCGGTCTGCGGAAAAACCTCTCTCCAAGGAATCGGTCCCCAGTGCCCAAAAGGTTGGGGACCTCTGGCTCAGAGAATCTAATAAATCTACAAGGCATTAGGTGATGCCCTAGCCATAGAATAGTGATAAGTTGGGACTGGGAAGGACCAGATTCAGATCTACACAGCGATGAAGTCCTCTAGGTGACTTTGGGATTGATGGTTCCTGTTGCTGAGTTGCTAAGTTGTGTCCAACTCTTTGCGATGCCAGGGACCACAGCATGCCAGGTCACCCTGTCCTCCATTATCTCCACCCAAACTCAGGCCCACTGCATCAATGACATTATCACGTGGTCTCTACCCAAGTCTTATTTACCAATCATCTCCAACCAGTTGGATTCACGCCACATGCTAAACTGTAATTCATAGTTTATCAACTGCAACAGCAGGTTTGCACAACCCAAGATCCAAGCCTGCTCTCTCTCAGCCCAATTTGTCCTTGCAGAGTTGTTATGAGAATCCAATGAAGGAGATGATATTCTTGGGAGAAAAGCAAGACATGAAGGCAATGTCAAAGAACAAGTCAAGGGACCTGTTTGCTTCACCCGTGCAACTGCTAAGAGCCAAGAAAATTAGCCAAGGCAGGTTGAGATGGGGAGGCACCGAGCTGGTGTCCTGCCACTAGTTTTTTCTGTGAAATCGCTAAGCCTGTCAAGTCTTGTGAGAACCATTAGTTCTGGAAACGCCTCTCAAAACTCCGGGAGTTGAGCCAGGGCAGGGAAGCAGGGCATGCCAGAAGATAGCTATTGGGCAGGTATCCTTGTGAACGGGGTTGTGCCTCGCGTTAGAAAGCACAGTGTGTGCTTTCATTCCGAGCTCTTTGATGCTGACTTTGATGTCTGCAATGGATGCCGCGTGCAGAATAGCTGATTAGATTAAAATCTGCTCTGTTGACAGTAATTAATTCCCTGTATATCAAAATGATAAAATATTAACAAGTCTTACAAGGCTGGGACATGTGCAAGACACACCAGAGATCAACCGCAGCAAAACCTGAGGAGGGGAAAGCGCCTTAAAGTCACAGCAGAGGAACTGGAGGAGGGAAGAAAATGGGAGAGGAGGAGGAAGAATGCGTTAGAGTAGGGTTTCTCAACATTGGGTGGACGTCATGGGACGTGCTGGCTGGGGAATTCTGGGAATTGAAGTCCACCCAGCTTAAAGTCATCAAGGTCGAGAGTCACTGCTCTAAAATATACCATCGTTATCTTATGATGTTTACATGTCTTCTCCCTAACAAGCACACTTTTTTGCATATCTCGTCCATGCACACTTATTGCTTTGGAAACCTGCCGTAACAGGATAGCTGTGTTCCAGCTTGCCTATTGACTGGGGAAGTGCAGTATATTCTCATTTGAGTTCCAAATCAGAAATAATAATGATGATGATGATGATGATGATGATGATGATGTTGGAAGGGACCTTGGAGGTCATCGAGTCCAACCCCCTGCTCAGGCAGGAACCCTACACCATTTCAGACAAATGGCTATCCAGTCTCCTCTTAAAAACTTCCAGTGTTGGAGCTTCTGGAGGCAGGTTGTTCCACTGGCTAATTGTTCTAACTGTCAGGAAGTTTCTAGATTGCTTCTCTCCTTGATTAATTTCCATCCGTTGCTTCTCATCCTGCCTTCAGGGGCTTTGGAGAATAGTTTGACTCCCTCTTCTCTGTGGCAGCCCCTGAGATATTGGAACACTGCTATCATGTCCCCCCTCGTCCTTCTCTTCATTAAATTAGACATACCCAAGTCCAGCAACCGTTCCTTATATGTTTTAGCCTCCAGTCCCCTAATCATCTTTGTTGCTCTTCTCTGTACTCTTTCTAGAGTTTCAGCATCTTTTTTACATCATGGTGTAAATTTATCCTACATTGCTATGGCAGCCTAACTAGGGGTGAGGTGGTGGGAGGGGGGTCAAAAAAATGAGCTGCATATGACTGTAAGAGAAGAGCAGACAGAGCTGGAGGGCGAAGTGAAACAAGTTGTCCGTTTAGAGTCCTTACGTTCCCATAAAAGACCCAAGTCCATCCTCTCTTGAATTTCATTGGCTCTTATCTAGCGCCAGTTTAGCATTGACCCGTTAGTTGGCTAAATTCTTGTGTGTGGGCTGTAATAATAAATCTTCTGCACTTGAACTTCATGACTTGCCTCCTGAGGTTGTGGATGCTCCATCACTAGAGGTTTTTAAGAAGAGATTGGACAACCCTTTGTCTGAAATGGCATAGGGTTGAGCAGGGGGTTGGACTAGAAGACCTCCAGGATCTCTTCCAGCTCTGTTATTCTGAACTTAATGATCTTGATTCTTTGCGCCCGATAATAACCCTTCAAAAAAGGCACCCCAACATATCCCGGGTGCTAGTTTGCCCAGTCCAGGATTTCTGAATCACCCAGCTGCCCGGCCATCCTTCTCTAAGGCAGCAACAATTTCACTTCCAACCTTTCTCCGCTGCAGGCCTTTTCCGTGACCTCACCAATCCGATTCTCTAGATGGGAAAAAGGCACAGAGGCTGCTCAGTTGTAGGCGATGAATGCCGATACTGTTTCACGCCAGCCAATCAACAGTGCACAGCTTTGGGCAGGAAAAGCTTGCCAAAACACACACCAAGAAAATAATAAACATTTATCAATATCTCCCAGAACAGAAAGCAGACTGCAGATCATCTACAATTCCAGGGCAACGTTGCTTAGTCTGCTTTTAAAAATTTTTACGTTTCCCTCTCAACCGTTCCCCGGGGACCTGTCAGAAGCCTTTGTACGTTTTTGAAACACGGCTCCAACAGCTGATCAGAAATGTTCTTCCTCCTTATGGCTCTTTCCTCATTTGCATCCTGTTGTAAATAAAAGAATCCTGCTTCCTGCATTCCTGAGTTTTGCTTACATGTCTGGCCGGAAAATTCATTTTCTGCTTTGTGGTGCCCGCTGCCCTTTGCCGTGAGCCTTGTGCAATTCACCTTATTTTGCCGTCTCCCGTGTCTACAAGAGAAGCATAACAATACCAGCCAGACTTAAGAGAAAGGTTGCAATAAAGTCTTAGATGAGTAACATGAACTGCTCTGGACTAGCTAAGGGGTCATCTACAACCCTGAAATCTTCCTTTCTTCTTTTTTGCCATCCTCCAATAATTTTACAATCCTATTCTATTTATTTATTACTAAATTTATATACCACCCGTCTTGCTGTCTGGGGAGATTCTAGGTAGCTTACTATTTAATAAAAATAGAAATAATTAAAGAGAGATCCAATCTAGAATTCAGGAGAAACTTCCTGACAGTGAGAACAATTAACCAGTGGAACGACCTGCCTCCAGAAGCTGCGAATGCTCCAGCACTGGAAGTTTTTAAGAAGAGACTTACTATTCTTAGTAAGAAGTAGAATGTGAAGGAAGAAAAATGTAAATAAGAAACAACGGGGCAATAAGGACAAATATTCTAAAGAAGAACAAGGGGGGAAATGTAAATAATAGAAGATATTGTTATGAAATCGTTGTTAAAAGGGGGGGAGGAGTATATACCGTGTGTGTGTGTGTGTGTGTTATGTTTTGCTTTGTTTTGTTTTGTTGGTTAAAAATAAAAATAAAACATGACAAGAGATTAAAAAGGGTAAAAGATGAGCTTAGAGCAACAGTGGTGCCATCTCTATCCCTGAATCAACCACCACCATCCTACAGATCTTCAAATCAAGCTTGATGCCAACTGGCACAGCCAGGTTCCTCCTTAAAGACCAGAAGGGTGGGGGCAGATCTCACATCTTGGGGCAAGTTGTTCCAAAGGGCAGGGGCCATGCAGAAAAGGCCCTACCTGTATAGGAAATCTCCTGAAGGGAAAAAAAAAGGCAAGTGGCACACAAAATTCAAATCTCAGGGTGCAAATATGGATGTTGGCAAGCATATTTGGCAAATAACTATGTAGATGCCTCTACTTGCCGGAAGCTACACTCCCAAAAAGGGTGGAACCGAGACCAACAAATGCTATTCATTAAAGGTTCCAGCCTAAAATTAACTCTCTTGTAAAAAAATAATAAGGCATCTAGCATTGCTTGTCAATGCATTTCAAAAGATTTCCATGCAAGGGTCAATTACAATAAATTTGGATAAATTCAATCTTTTCATCAAGATCAATCAGAGGTGGGGCAACTTTTTCAGAGGCCGCGCCCTGAAATGGAAGGGCTGTTCCGGGAGGGTAATGAACATGTTGTTTTTTTACATGTAATTAAAACCAAATATGGTTATTAATATTATTTCCCTCCAGTCCTAGGCTTATTCATTTTCTCCATCTGCCGCATTAAAACCTGCACTTTGGATCGCTTCTGTGGCAACTGGGCCTGAAGTTCTCAAGAGCTTCTAATGAAGAAAAACGTAAAGCTTTTCAGAAGTCCTGGCAGCCACGACCAACCTGAACAATGGCCACAGGTAATAGAATAACAGAGTTGGGAGGGATCTTGGAGGTGTTCTAGTCCAACCTACTGTGTACCATTTTCACAAATAATTGCCCAATCTCTTCTTAAAGACTTCCAGTGTTGGAGCACCCACAACTTCTGAAAGCAAATCATTCCACTGGGTTAATTGTGATCAGTTTCTCAGCCTTGGCCAGTTGAAGATGGCTGGCGTTCAACTCCCAGAATTAATAATAATAATAAAGTTAGAAGGGATCTTGGAGATCATCTAGTAGTCCAACTCCCTGCTCAGTCAGGAAACCCTACACCATTTCAGACAAATGGCTGTCCAGTCTCTTCTTAAAAACTTCCAGTGTTGGAGCATTCACCACTTCTGGAGGCAGGTTGTTCCACTGATTAATTGTTCTAACTGTCAGGAAGTTTCTCCTTAGTTCTAGGTTGCTTCTCTCTTTGGTTATTTTCCATCCATTGCTTCTTGTCTTGCCTTCAGGTCCTTCTCCATGGTTGTCTAGAAAAGGAAGGAAGGAAGGAAGGAAGGAAGGAAGGAAGGAAGGAAGGAAGGAAGGAAGGAAGGAAGGAAGGAAGGAAGGAAGGAAGAAAGAATGCTTGGAAAGTTATTACTATTAACATCTTCAGGTAGCCAAGGTTGAGAAACACCACCCTAAGACCATGAGGATGAAGGACACTAAAGGAGGAAGAACACTGCAGAGAAGACACTATAGTAGGAGAACTGTGTTAGTCTACTACTCTATGGTTTTCATCTAAGGAGGAACAGAGTTTAAGATCAGAAAGCGGATCTTTTCTTATCTCCAACATGCTGCTTCCAGTACGACAGGGGTATCCAGTCATGGCAACTTTAATACCTGTGGACTTCAATTCCCAGAATTCCTCAGCCAGCCATGCTGGCCATATACTACTTAGAGCAGAAGGACTCCAATCCTGGACCACTAACATTTACTGGTGCTCCTCTCTGAAAAGGCCCTTCTTTTATCCCCACTGAGCTCTTAAATTCAGTCAAGGTATCATTCCCCATTCATCAGATGCTGGCATTAAGCAGCATCCCTGGCCAGCTGGTTCGATCCCAAGAGGTCAAACAGTCAATCTTCTTCTTCTTCTTGAATTTGAATGTGCTCTATTTCATACAGACTTAAAAGCCTGTTTTCCTGATTTGTTCGCAAATAAATCACGATAACTAGAAACTTCAGTCCTAAATTACTCAGGCCCTTGAAGATGAATGATACAAATTAGATCAGGAACAGCAATTAACAAAAATGCAATGGAAAGAAGGGGGGGAAATCAATTGTTAAAAGAATTATGATGAGGTGAAGCCATAAATGCAAGGCCATTATCAAGAGACAAGGATCCAACTGTCTCTCTTTCCATTTCTATGAAATATCCATGGAGCCCATTATAACAGGGGTCCCCAACCCCCGGTCTGTGGACCGGTACCGGGCTGTGGCATGCCAGCAACCGGTCCGCACAAACAAGCAAAGCCCCATCCATGGGATGCAGGCAGCACACAAAACCACACACCCTCCTGTCTGCGGAAAAACCTCTCTCCTTATAACCGGTCCTTGATGCCCAAAAGGCTGGGGACCTCTGCATTATAAGACAACCAAGGTCTTCTTGAAAGGCTTGCAGGCATGACAAACAAACCAAAGTTGGAGCACAACAACAAAGTACATTAACAGAGGGATAGAATCAAGATCACGTGAAGTATTAATACCACTTTACAATGCCTTGGTAAGGCCACACTTGGAATACTGCATCCAGTTTTGGTCACCACGATGTAAAAAAGATGTTGAGACTCTAAAAAAGAGTACAGAGAAGAGCAACAAAGATGATTAGGGGACTGAAGGCTAAAACATATAAAGAACGGTTGCTGGAATTGGGTATGTCTAGTTTAACAAAGAGAAGGATGAGGGGGGACATGATAGCAGTGTTCCAATATCTCAGGAGCTGCCCCAAAGAAAAGGGAGTCAAGCTATTCTCCAAAGCGCCTGAAGGCAGGACAAGAAACAATGAATGGAAACTAATCAAGGAGAGAAGCAACCTAGAACTAAGGAGAAACTTCCTGACAGTTAGAACAATTAACCAGTGGAACAACCTGCCTCCAGAAGCGGTGAATGCTCCAATACTGGAAGTTTTTAAGAAGAGACTGGACAGCCATTTGTCCGAAATGGAGTAGGGTTCCTGCCTGAGCAGGGGGTTGGACTAGATGACCTCCAAGATCCCTTCCAACTTCTTCTTCTTCTTCTTCTTCTTCTTCTTCTTCTTCTTCTTCTTCTTCTTCTTCTTCTTCTTCTTATTATTATTATTATTATTATTATTATTATTATTATTATTATTATTATTATTATTATTATTATTATGACTCCTGAAGAAGCCCACCCTGTATCTCTCCAACCCTGCCCAGCAAGAAAGGAGTGGATAATGGATGCCTTTGGCAAGTGGCATTAATGCCTGGACAGTCACCTTGCCATTAATGGCTTTGCGGTACATCCCAGAGAAGACACCTAATGGAAAGCCACCCCTTTTTAACTCTCTGCTTCAAAGTGCTTTTTCGAGTTCAGGTGCCTGTCTTGTAAAAAAAGGGGGGGAAAGCTGTTTTGTTGTGTTCTGCTCTGTTTTAAGCAAAATTAAGGTTATTTGTTTTAGAGGAAGATATTTAATGAGTTCTAGTTCCTCAAGGGTCATTTCTGGTACTGAAGATGTTACTTAGGCAATAAAATGTCTGCAAGCAAACAACTAAGTTTAGAGAGCACCAAGAACTCCATGATCTGTCCTTCCTTCCTTCCTTCCTTCCTTCCTTCCTTCCTTCTTCTCCCTTTCCCTCTTTTTCTTCTCCTTTCCTTACTGTTCCTCCCTCCCTTCCTTATCTCTCCTTCCTTCTTATCTCTCCTTCCTTCCTTCCCTCTTTCCTTTTTCTTTCTCTATTTAGAGTTCTGCCTGTGAAGAAGGGTCACAGGGCTAATGCTCTTGTCAGAAAAAATAGATCTACATTGGTCTACAGTAGCAAAAAATCCCAAAGAATCTGGCAGTACCTTTTCCAACTAACAAATATTCTTAAAAGTGAGCTGCAGCTGAGGAAAGCCTCTGCCTTTTCATAAAACCCCTTAGTTGGAAAAGATGCTTCCAGACGCCTGCTAAGATTAATGCTCTCTCCACTTCTGACTTTGTTGTTTTAATGCTCCCCGGTGGTTTATCAGCAGTGATCAAGCTTATTTTGAGGCTATGGCTTCAAGAAAGGCAGAAGGAAATTAAGCCCAGTCTCTCTCTCTCTCTCTCTCTCTCTCTCTCTCTCTCTCTCTCTCTCTCTCTCAAATTACAAGAACCCTTGGCACAGCTCATTTCTGCCACTACTGCTGGAAAACTCAGTTCTTGGGAAACAAACAAAGTTGTAAAAAAAACGGATGAGCGCCCCCGTCAAGCAACTGGTAGCAGCGGTTGGTTAAATGCGGGATGATGCCACTTCTCAAGAATCCCTGGTGATCATCAGGGATACCACGAGACTCATAACTCAGGATGGGCCATTCTTGCTACCAGCTTGCCATGAATCTTCAGAAAGGTTTTCTCTCCTG